CTGAAATGGAGGGTTTGGAGGCTCACAAGGGCAGAAGATGTGCAGGATGAGCAGGGGGGGTCCAGAAAAAGTCAGGGTAGGAGAAGCTCCAACTGTGCAGAGAAGAACAACCCAGGAGGTTGGCACAGGTAGCTTATGTTGTCCTCCTCAGGGGACAGAGAGTTGCTGAGCAAATGCTGTATTCCTTGGCCACCCTCTTTGGTCCCACTGGAGGGAGAGGTAAACCATAGGGTGTGCTCCCCAGCACAGGGATGGAGTAGATTCTGTCTGGCAGGTGTAGATCACTGGATGGAGGGAAGATGGCAGTAGACAGCGTGTCCGGTTATCACAGTGGTCAGGTAGATGAAAGGAAAGCACAGTGCCTCTCAGTTTCAGCCTGCAAGACTCCCTCTGTCTTCTTGCACTTCTTGCTGCCCAGTCTCCTGACACTGGGCTCCCTGCACTCAGTTGCACCACCGCTCACTCCTCCCCGAAGCATCTGCTTTTCTTCTAGCTCAGGTCCTTCTCAGCTACTTTTCCTGTACTACCTTCTGCTTACAGCCCCACAGCTCTGTACGTGCCCCTTTGTTTTTCACAAAAAGCAGCAGCGCTGCAGCCAGAGAAGAGTAAATAGAGTTATCTTGTCAATAAATGAATGGAGGGGATGGGCACATGGTTGACTCTTGACTCGGGGCTGAGCACCAGCCAGTGACATCAACCTGGGCCAGGACTCATTTGGGCTCATTTTGGCAACTGGGCAGGGATAGATGTTTTTAGCTCTGCCACTGGATCATGTTTAGTCTGGGACTGCATGAAGACCAAAAGCCATTTCTGTAGTTGCCTCCAGGTGGATTCTAGTAAATAAATGATAAATGTGGATAAAAAGCTGTAGTGTTTGACTGGGAATGCTTTCAGAACTGCTTAAGAGATTTGAGATCTGATTTCACTTTTAAAACTTACTCTGAGCCAAAATTTCCACAGATAATGAGGGACTAGCTGCATCATTAGACATATATGTATTCATATATAGCTTTGCTGAGTTTACACTATGAGGGCAGTGGGTCATAACACAGCTAAGGGTATTTCCCAGTGCCAAAGACCTTACTTTTTGCATTCAACTTTCCTGGAAAGAAGAATCTTCCTTCTCTGGTGTTTTCATCAGAACAAAAAATGCAGAATCTCAATCTGATCTATCTAAGCAAGGATACCACATCTGTCACCACAGGCTTTTGAATCAACCAAGGACCCAAAAGCTTGATCAGATCTGACTTCAGAGGAATTCCTTTACTGCAAGCACCCTTTACTTTCTGTTTATTCACAGTAAAAAAGAGGGAGAGGTGTGGGAGAAGGCTGAGAGTGATGTCTCTTTATGAACAAAGTACCTTGGAAAGAAGGAGATGAGAGGTGTGACAGCTATCTCTGCTGTCTCTGGGCTTAAGATAAAGAGAGGACTCATGTCTGAGGCTGTTAGCTCAATATTTCCCACACTGATATTTTCCACACAGTGTTGTTGTTCAGCTTCGGTTTGCCTCTGGTACGGATGGACACCATTGCAGCACGTTTCTGTGGTTTTGCGAACCACACACCGTGTTCGCACTGGTTTGAGAGGGGACGGCTCCCCGTGTAACATTTCCAAAGAGCTCTTGGGGACCCCAAAGCAAAAGGGCCCCAAATCACTGAGAGTGTTATGCCTTTGGTATTCTAAACCTAGGTTACTCACATACGAGACCACATGATCTCATCTTCCTGGAAGAAAGGTCCGGTTATCACCAGATCTGACATCGAGCACTTCCTGCCGCAGTGTGTCACACATTCACACCCAGCATGGCTGCGAAAGCTGTCACCATTTTCACAAGGGGGGCAGAAAAGCCAGCAGGATGATCCTCAGGGGCTTGCAGTAGGATCACTTCCAACTCTGCTTTCTGTTTTAGGTGGCTGAGGGAAGGGAGTAGGAAGGAAAGCTGAAGGTATATTGGTCCAAGCAAAGCTTTACCTAGTTCTCTATTTAGAAAAGCTGTTAATCGTTTCTCCCCATCCCAAAGGACAGAAGAACACTATAGATTACTTAATATTTTGTTTATTTACAAAGAGGCAAGCCTTTTCTTTTGTACTCAGCAGCAAGATGTAATCAGGAAGAGTACATGGACGCCATTTGGCCATGCAGAGAGAAAATTAGAAAGGAGAAAGCCCAGCTGGAACTCAATCTAGTCACTGTCATAAGAGACAACAAAAATGTTTTTACAAATACATAAATAACAAAAAGAGAGTCAATGAGAATCTCCATCCTTTATTTGATGCAGAGGGGGAACATTGCCACCAGGACGAGGCTGAGCTACTTAATGCCTTCTTGGCCAGATGTCCCCAGGGTACCCAGCCCCCTGAGCTGGAAGGCAGAGACAGGGAGCAGAAAAAACCTCCTATAATCCAGGAAGAAGTAGTTAGTGACCATCTGTGCCACATAGACACTCACAAGTCCTTGTGGCCAGATAGAATACACCCAAGGGTACTGAGAGAGATGGCAAAAGAGCTCAGCAAGCCACTCTCCATCATTTACCAGTAGTACTGGCTAACCAGGAGGGTTCAAGATGACTGGAAGTTAGCCAGCGTGGCACACATCTACAAAAAGGGTCAGAATGGGGACCCAGGGAACTACACGCCTGTCAACCTGTCCTTGGTGCCAGAGAAGGTCATGGAGCAGGTCACCTTGAGTGCCACCATGTGGCATGTGTGGGACAACCAGGGGATCAGGCTCAGCCAGCATGGGTTTGGGAAAGGAAGGTCCTGCTTGATCAACCTGATTTTTTTGTATGACAAGGTGATCCACTCAGTGGAAGAGGGAAAGACTGTGTATGTTGTCTACCTAAACTTCAGCAAAGCCTTTTACACTGTCTCCCACAGAATTCTCCTGGAGAAACTAACAGCCCATGGTGTGGATATATGTACTGTTTGCTGGGTAAAAAACTGTCTGGACGGCTGAGCCCAAAGAGTTATGGCGAATGGAGTTAAATCTAGTTAGCAGCTGGTCACTACTGGGGTTCCCCAGGGCTCAGTGTTGGGGCCAGTCCTGTTTAACATCTTTATCAATGACCTGGATGAGGAGATTGAGGGCTCCGTCAGTCAGTTTGCAGATGACATCAAGCTGGATGGGAGTGTTGATCTGCTGGAGGGTAGTATGGCTGTACAGAGGGATTTGGACAGGTTCTCTTGATGGGCTGAGGCCCATTGTAGAGGTTCAACAAGATGAAGTGCCAGATCCTGCACTTGGGTAACAACAATCCCATGCAGTGTTATGGGCTTGGGGAAGAATGGTTGGAAAACTATGCAGCAGGAAAAGGATCTGGGGGTGTTGGTTGACAGCCGGCTGAACATGAGCCAGCAGTGTGCCCAGGTGGCCAAGAAGGACAATGGCATCCCGGCCTGTACTGGAAATAGTGTGGCCAGCAGGACTAGTGAAGGGATTATCCCTCTGTACTTGGCACTGGTGAAGCTGCATCTCAAGTGCTGTGTCCAGTTCTGGGCCCCTCACTACAAGAAGAATATTGAGGTGCTGGAGCATGTCCAGAGAAGGGCAAAGTTAGTGAAGGATCTGGAGCACGAGTCTTATGAGGAACAGCTGAGGGAGATGGGGTTGTTCAACCTGGAGAAAAGAAGGCTCAAGGGAGGCCTTATTGCTCTCTACAGCTACCCAAAGACAGTTGTGGCAATGTGGAGGTCAGTCTCTTCTCCCAGGTAACAAGCGATAGGTTGAGATGAAATGGCCTCTAGTTGCACCAGGAGGAGTTCAGTTTGGGTACCAGGAAAAATTTCTTCACTGTTAAACATTGGAATAAACTCCCTAGGAAAGTGCTGGAGTTACTATCTTTGCAAGGGTTCAGAAAACAAGTAGACATGGCACTTTGCAATGGTTTAATGAGAATGGTAGTACTCAGTCAAAGGTTGGACTTGATGATCTTGAAGGTCTTTTCCAAGCTTAATGATTCTATGATTCTATGAAGGAAAATTGAAAAGTTTATGAAGATCTACATGGGGACAAGATACCCACTAGTGCAACTAGGATCCTTGGCCCATGTAAGACAGCAAATTAATCATCAGGGGCAAGGGATTCAGTGTCTCTTTTCGAAGTTCATCTTGGAAGATTCTCAAAGTACATGAAACAGCTGGGGAAGCCTTGTGCTTCCTTATCTG